CAAAATGGCCGGCGCTGCAAAAGTCCTGGCTCCAAGAAGGCTGGATTTATGCCGGTTTCTCCAAGAAGGCTGGATAAACTCCTTTCTGTTGAGCAGCTGGAGCGTTAATGGTTTGGTGGCACATGACAAGGCCTGGGCACGTTGCTGTTTTAAATCTTCCCTAGCTTGTCAGGCTGCAGAGTGTGACATTCTCCATTTGTCCCCGCTGAATTTACAGGTTGGCATCTGTGGCCGTCCCTGCCCGCTGCTCTGCGTGCGGCTCCTCGGGAGCCCGCAGTGACGGGAGCTGCAGCCGCCGGGCCCTGCCGCGAGGAGCCGGCGCCTGCGCGGGGCGGCAGGGAGGGAGGGAAGGAGCATGGGCAGGGAGCAGCGAGCCAGGCCGCTGCCTCCCCGCCACTGTGCAGCCCCCGAGCTCTGCRGAGCCGGCGGTGGCCCGGGGCCTTCCTCCCGGGCAATCACCGCTGCTGCCAGCCTCCTCCCAGGCAGCTTCCTGCGTTTCCGTAGCCCGAAAGCTCCGYGTGTCAGTCGGAGTTTGCGGGCCGGAGGCTGCGCTAGCTTCTTGTTTGGCTTCTCCCATAAATTTTGTGAGCGTGTATGGGATGAGCTCTGTGTTTACATGGAAAAGTTTGGTTTTCACAAGGTGGAACAGCTGTGGTCATTCCRAGATCCTTCCAGCCTATCAGCCCTTGCCTCCTCGGAGGTGGGAAGTATTTCCTAATGCTGTTTCAGGCACCAGGAATGAGCAAGACCCGGGCTATTGCCATTGCTTCTRTGTGATGAATAAAACAATATGGGCTTTTGCACGTGAGAGTGCTTCTTGCCACATCCAGGGAAGAATCCCCTCACCAGCATGGAGAGAGGGCTCAAGGCCGTTGGTGGCTTTTCCATGCGGAGTGAGGACACCACCTTGGTCCTGGAGCCGCCTGTGTCAGGCTGGTGTTTTATGCAGATTCGAACACCACGGCTCAGATGAGGTCACCAAAAATGTATTTAGTTGCCTGTAATGAATGTGTCAGGAGAGTGGAAATTTAAGCATTGCTTGTTTTGTCTAAAGCCAGGTTGGAACAGTCCGTGTCCTGCAGTGTTGAGAGGCCTGGCAGTGATTAGGCTCGTTCTTGTGACGTGATCGTAAGCGYGTGGAAGAGCATGTGTTGCAGAGGGTTAGTAATTATTGCAATACACTCATTAAATGGTGTGAACACTATTTAATACACTAGTATTAAACATATAAAAACACATAAGTAGTTTTTACATGTTTAACTGTTTTCACACACATGTAAAAACTGCCTGTTTTCTTTGTTTATATTTTCCTGTCTATAATTTTTCTTATGCTGACATGGAGTCAAAATCCACTTCTTGGTGTAAAATACGGTAATTGTGATTCACAGCATTGATAAACTGAGGTAAGGGATATAAATGAATTTCTTCTTTCAAGTTTAGCCACATTAGCTGCCTTCAACCTACAGGAGTTTRGCAGATTGTCGAGTCCTTCCCAAACACTGTGGGGCTGGAGATTTAGGCAGTCACGGGTCCGTCTGGCCCACTCTCTTCCCAGAGTGGTGAGACTGAAGATCACCGTGCAGCTCAACCAGACACTACCCAAAGGGATTTTCCAAACCTTACTGTTAGTTGGACCTCATTCTTTTGTCTTTTGCCGTGTTCACTGTCCGGTATCCACCCAGGAGTTAGAATGAGGCTTTTGTACCGCTTAAAGAAAACGAAAAGAAAGAATAAACTGCTTGTGATTTTTATGTGCTGGAATTAAACCAGCTGCTACTGCCTTCAAAATATAGAGGGAGGTAAAGGGCAAATCTCTTCGATAGCTATTTGTATTCAAAGGAAGGAATAACTTACTGGATTTAAAGGTAGTATGAAGTCATTCTTTTGTAAACTACTCCTCCTCATCGCTAGCCTACCTGTGGCTATGCAAAATAGAAGAGCAAAGGTCTTGCTGGGGTGTTCCTGAAGCAAATGCAGCAGGAGCTCGTTTTCCTGTGTTTATGGGGAAACTTGGTGTGCTCCCTGCTAGCCGAGTCATTAGCTTATCTTCAAGGCTGGAGTGCACTGTGTCTGTTGGCAACTAGAAAAAAATGCTGTGAAATGTGGAAGTTTTTGTGTATATGGCAGGGCCCCTGTCGCTTGTTGCTGCCTTGGTTAAGCTGCTGTGTGGATGGACTCGCTGCCCTGGGAATGGGAGCTCAGCAGCGACGCAGGGAACAGCCCCTGGCACCCACGGCTGCTTGCTCGGAATTAAAGAACGGCTTTGACCGAGGTGCGAAGGTGCAGGGTGGCCAAAGCGGAGAGGTGGGCGCGTAGACAAGCCGCGATTTGTAAATTCACATTTGAGGGTATGTGTTTTGGAAAAGCAAAGCTCTGGATTGCCCCGGGTGAGGTATGTGTGTTAGAGTAATACGAATACAAGAGGGTGTGCGACACCCTCTTGTAAGAAATATTGGTTGTGCCCACATGGGGTATTAACATGTGGACATGCACTCTACAAGGCAGACTCTACAAGATTAATATTACAAATGCCCCGGTGTAACAGATTCATTTCCTGAACTGGCCTGTAGTGCCTACGTGTAGGGGGTTCCTACGTGTCACTCCTGGCGGGAGCTGTTCCCTTCCCTGGCTGCTCGGTGGGAGCAGGGAGTGAGTGAGGCCGCAAGGCAAGGCAAGGAGGAAGCCAGGCAGGCTGGACAAGGAGCCCCTGGCTGCCCTTTCCTGAAGAGCTGCTGCCCTGACCAGGACGCCCATGGTCTCCTGCGACTGCCAGCCTCAATGAAGGTGCCTGACTCTGTCCTGTCAGAAAACACCTTGGATAATCTGTTCAGAAAGGAAGAAGTTTGGATCCGCTCTCTTGGTGCCCTCAGCATATCCCGTGTGTTTATGGTAGAGCAGCACTTGGAGAGCAGTGTGTGGAGAGGAAACATGCTGTGGGTGTCCCTGCTTGAGCAGGAAGGTTGGACTAGATGATGTCTAGAGGTCCCTTCCAACCTCAACCATTCCGTGATTCTCTGAAATAGGGCAGAGCTCRAATTTGCAGCCCGGGGGAGAATGTGTGGAAATGGCATGTTCAGGCTGTGCCTGTTACAAGGGGGAACCTTTTCCACGAGGGATTTTGGGACTGCAATACAGACTGATGGCAGAAGAGATGCTGCCTTCCCTCCAGGTAGATGGATGCCTCCAAGATGCCCTCTTTAAAACTCGGCTACGAGCGAGTGAAGTACCAGTTTGCAGGTCTAATCTGCTCTTACTTCTGAAATGGGCAGTTCTAACACTTGTGTCGATGGGCTTTCAAATGTCAACTCCTAGCTGCGTTTTCCTTTTAAACAAAAATTCCTTTAGTGTGCAGATCCTTGAGTGTGGCAGTATTAACAGACCTAAATCCTTGTGTCTGCCTCCTCTTCCCTYTTTCCTCCTGATGCAGTATCCCAAACTTGGTGTTTATAAGGCACCTATTCCTCAACTTGATACATGCTGAGTTGTTGGGCTGATAAACCTACTGTAGTGGAGCTGGGCTGAGATAAAATCCCAGCTGGTTCATGGTGCATTGAAGCTAACAGGCCTTCCATGCAGCTGAACTGCTGCCCTTCGGTTGGTTTGGGTGTCTCTGCTTTGACCTTCCTAGTGTGTCTGTAAATCTTACCTGGGCTTTTCCCTGTGGCCTGAAGCACCCTGGCACCCCCTGAACCAGGGCAATAGGAAGTTGTCTGCACAGACCTTCTGCTCTGTATTGTCCCTGTCGCATAAGGTGCTGAGTAGGAACAAGGTGACTCCTAAGYGTTTGGGGAGTGCTCAGCTCTGCAGAGGTTGTGAATGAGGTTTGCTCCGCAGCCTGAGGGCAGTATCTTTTTCCTCATGTTTTGAAGTGCTGTGTGAGTGACTAAACTTGTTAGGTGGCCAGACTCTCTGGCAATCTTCCTGTATGCAGCACACACCTCACAAGTGAAACATGAAGGCGCAAATTCCGACGTGAGGTATTGAATGTTTGCCATTGCACGAGGGTGGGAATCACGTAAAGTACCCATCAGCTGGGAATAGCTTGTTTTTAAGCTGATGGTTCCACTGAAAGCCTCTAAACTTGGACAGAAATCCATGAAATAGATTGAAGAAACACAGGGATAGCATGCCTAGTCTTTTAGTAGTTTAATTACAGTGCTATAAGCTGTATTTACAAATATGAAAATCATTTTTAGRGCTTCCCTTTCTGTGGTAGAAGAGACATACAGTGTCTGACGTGCGTGCCTGTCACTGTCTCATGCACTTGCTGATACGCCAGCACGTTTCACGGAAACAGTTCTGAGGGAAGTTGCTTTGCAAAGTTGACCCTTGAGAGATGTTTTGAAAAAAGTGTGCATACTTCAGTCTATTGCTAACAGAGAAATAGAAGAAAAGCCCTCAATTCAGCATTTTMCCTACATATTAAAGTATTTTATGCTAACCTGTTTCCATGTGGGCATTGGCAGAGTTGTTTGCAGAGTTCAAGTTTTGTTACCTTTATTAGCTTATTAACAAGGTCTCTAAATATGTTGGGTAAGAGATTACTTTCATTCTGATGTTTCATCAGGGTCTGGTTTAAAGAAAGCATAATGAAATTTTCAACTGCATTATAATTTTAGCTAGTGTGTCTTTGTAAATCACTTGTGGCCATTTCGGTTGTGCATTAGCTGCCCTCTGCTTTCTCAAGGGGTATTTTAACTCTCAAACTGGAATACTGCAACTCTGCGCTATTTTTCTTTGGCCTGACTTTGATTTATACCGACGCTAATTATAGAGGCTTTGAATCTGTGTGCATACATAGTTTTACAAGGTCATACACATAATGAACTGGCTGAAATGCTGCTTGTATTTCATGAGGTTGTTATATAAACAGGTTACTGTATTTTCTACACATTGTTTCCTTTTTTTTTTTTTTTCCCTTTTCAAACTTGGTCAACGCCCGCCTAGGGATGCTGATTTTCAGTTTGCCTCCTCAGCTTAAACCTGCATTGTCTCTGCAGGCATCGGAAGGTGTCACCTTCGTGGGACCTGACACACACGCGATTCAAGCTATGGGAGACAAGATTGAAAGCAAATTGTTAGCCAAGAATGCAAAGGTCAACACAATCCCTGGCTTTGATGGGGTAGTCAAGGTGAGAAACCGTTTAACTACTACTACTACCGTAGAATCAGTGYTAAAATTGAAGTTCACTTTTCAGAGGTGTGAGGAAAAATGTAAGTTCAGCTTCTGTTTAAGGAAGTAAGTAAGTGATTAAAACTGGCAGGGTACAGATTTTTACTAGCAAGAAGGCTTTGGAAGAGGAAGGTTCTAGGAAGAGTGCTTCATAACAGACAGGGGATTAAGGGCTGCTTGTAAATTTTACAGAGTCTCTAAAATTTTGTTTTAAAACATTCATGCAAGTAAGTGTGTTTAATATATCAGGTGTCGCGTTTACAAGTATGCCCGCGTGGATGTTTAACGTTTCTCAGTTCCACACTTCTTGTTGGCCAAGACCTTGGCCTAAACTACTGCCAAAGCTAACACAACGCATGGCTAGCAGAATCCTTCAGTAGCAGTGAAGTTGGCCACAAGGTACCGAGTATCTGTTTTAATGGCCTGTGGTGGTGGTGGTTTCCACRTGTTGCAAAGGCTGGTGGTGACGGACGTTGTCCCAATCGGCGTGCCCAAGTTTGGGGAGTGGGGGGAAGCAGTGGTGGGTTGTCCACGTCGACAGCTCTTGTTCTTTCAGGCSTTTTAGAAGGTATGATTTCTAACAGCTTCCTAAACACTTGGGTTATTTCTTTGCATATCGTATGATGAAATCAAGTATGTCTTGGTTTTGGTTTGTCTTATGCTATACTGATTAAATACTGGGCTCTTTTGCACTTTCCAGTGTGTCCTGATGTAATCAATGCTGATGTAGGTATTATCTGTCATTTCCTTTAAAAGCTTAAGTGCATATATGCCTGGAGATTCTGAGATGTTGATCTCTGCGCTGAAACTTTTATGCTTAATACTTATTTTAAGTTAGATTTTTTTTTTCAAATAAAATTTGAGGAGAACTTTGAGTCACTGAAAAGGCGAAAAATGTATTGCAACAATAGCATATTTTAATGTAGCTGGAGAAAAGCATTGACCTCTGATCTTCATAAATCTTATTTACATGATGAAATAGGGCATTCAGTATAATTGGGAACACCTGAGTTTTATTGATGGACTTGAGACTGTGCTCGTTTAAAAAGCTGTGATGGGGCCTGTCAGATCAGAAGAGGAGCCCAAAGACATTGCCAGGTTGTAGGGATCTCCTAGATGAAATGGTTACRCTCCAGGTCCTCAGAAATAGGACTTCTGATCCTGCATATTCTCCTCCATGCCACGGATCTSCACCACATGCTTGTGTTTGTCCTCTGGTCTCCTCTTTCTGTGGTTTTGTGGCTTTTAAATGGCACAAATACCTGAGCAGTGAGACCTTGCAGGATGGCCGAGCTTTGATTGAATCTTGTTGAGCTGTTTGGCCAGTTCAGACCAAGATATGAAAAGTGGAGTATCAAATGCAATAAGAAGAGTAATCCGTGAGAAATCGGGACTCTCTAGCATTTCTGCCATTCTGTGGGAGGTCTGTTTTAGTCACAGTGAGGAAACTCTCAGATTTCTCCAGGGCTCTTGTTTTTGGGGAACAGAAATCTTAGAAGTCTTAAGAGGGAGTTAAGTGCCTGTGTGATACTTGAATTGCTTGGAGATGGCCCCGTCTTTCCAGTGGAATTTAATAAAGCTCGGAAAGAAACAGCTTTCATGCCTGTGTGACGACAATGACAGAAGTTAAGAAAGATCAATTGTGCATCCATTCTTTGGGAGTGAATAGTTAAAGCGAGCATAAAGGATAACAACTTCTAGTGCTTCATTGTTCCGGTCAGGACAGCCCTGAAAAACTTTGTTAATTCAAGAGTTGTCTCTTTATCGGGCACTTAAATAGTGCTGCAGATACACAGATCCTTCACAAATAAAGGGCACGTTTTTCCTCCTCCTTATGTTGCTTAGCATTTGGATGTAATGAGCAAGTGGGGTTTCTAAGCCCTTTCAGAGCCTTGGAGAAGCTGCGTGCAGGGAAATTCCAAGTCAGGAGAAATTACAATAGCAAGTGATCCCTTCAGGCCTGCACTTTGGGAAAGAACCTGGAAGGATGGGAGGACGATTGCCCTAAGACTCAGCCAACTCTCTTCATATTAGACTGGGAAGGTAAAGTGTGAAACTGGGAGTGGCAAGAGCAGAAATGTGCCTAAAGAAGGTGGTTGCCGGACTAATTTTCTTCTCTTTTCCAGTTCACTTTCACTAGCAGAGAGCAATTGAGCCAACAGTAGTGCTTAAAGGGTGTTCGGTTCAAAGCTTCCAGCCGCAATTAGTTTCCTACAACTTGATTACAATCTTATCTACAAGGTTAGTGTTAATCCGCACGAGCCGTGGCTCTAGCAAAGTGAGGACTGAAAGAGGCAGAGCCTCTCAGTAGTTAAAAGAGGACTAAGTGACAAGAAGAAAGTGGAGAATGAGTAATGACTTTGAGGAGCTCTGGTAGTGAAAAATTGGCAGAGGAGTGGAAAGGGAAGGAGGATTTGGTTTTATTTCCCTGTGCAGAGCCAGTTTGCTGTCATGGTTGGYGTAACGGAGCTGGCCTTGACCCGAAGGCCGGTTGGCTCTGAGCGGCTTCTTGGTTTCAGTGAKGTCCACGGATACACTCAAGGTTTGCAGCAAGGCTGTGGATTTCAGCAGGGCTATGGATTTCAGCAGGGCTGTGGATTTCAGCAAAGCTATGGATTTCAACAAGGCTATGGATTTACCTAAGTGCCTAAGTTTTAGGCTTTTGTTTCAGACATTCTTGTGTTGAGGTCTGATATTCAAACGATCTCTGTTCCGCTGCAGAGGTGCTTGGAGTTTAGTCATGACTCTTTATTTGGAGATGCTCCAGACCCAACGTCCTCAGYTGTGAAAACTGTTATGCAGCTGATGATAATTACTGGTGGTTTGTAGCTCTGGAAGTGGCCGAGCTTCACCATGGCAGCCTCTCCAGCACAGCCAACCTGCCTYCTTTTTGTCTCCACCTGCTGGTGCTCAGCAGAGACGTGGACGTGAAATTTGTGGCTTGGAAATTACTACTSTAAATGAGAAAGTGCTTTATGTTTCATTTAAAGTCAGCCCAAAGGAGAGTGGGGTGCCATTTTTGACTTTTATAACTTCTATAACCTTATAGCGGATTGCAAACAGTTCTCATTTGGATGATACGACTGTGCTAGAGTTCTACACTTCTTTGCAATCTCTAGTGTATTTTGGGAAAATGGGAGTGTAGCTGATGGATTTTTACTGGAAACAGTAACATGGCACTACGAGCTTCACAAAAGTGCGGCCCCATAAGTCACTTTTAAAATATTCCTTTTATTAGGGTTTTCTTTGTACATTTTCCACGTATGGTCTCATGTGCTGGGTAGCATCATGACATTGAGTTTTCCTGGCCCCCACAGCAAGTATGCCCAGTTTAAGCACTCTGCACCAGAATCTAAAGCAAGTGTAAGTTTTTGTAAGCCCTCAGCCTGCTGCCGTGTTCTCCAACTAGTAGTGTAAGACTGCTTTTTTTTYCCCCCAAGTTATTTTTGTCTTTAAAGTGGCGCAAATCAGCGTCTTTTTGTGTTCCATTTTAGCAACAGTCCCAGAAGGCCAGAGAAGGTGAGTGTAGGTGGCCGAGCTCCTGAGCCCCAGTGCTTTAGCACGGTGCAGCAGCCCGGGTTGCAGTAGTGCAGATCAGTGCGAGCTGCGTGGGCCAGATGCCTGCTGCCATGTTCACTCCAAGCTAGAGCTGAGATTGCTGCAGCTCCGATGCTGTTTCTCAGAGCCCTGGTGTGCAGGTATAAACCCCGTGCCGTGCAAAGTCAGCCTGCTTATGTGTCGCTTATCCTCCCGTGGGCTTGCAGGGTATTATCCCTTCCCCAGCTGGCTTGCAGGTAGCTAAGCGAAAAAGTTGCCTCCTTTGCCCCCCCTCCCTGCCCTTAATTCTATTTTGCAAATATATGACTGCATTTGCAAGAGAAAAGAAATGTAAAAGTTTCCTTCTCGCCTCTAATCGTGGCTCTTCATCAGTCATCACTCTTCCTGCATTTTGTTCCAGAGGCTCTAATTGTCTGCATTTGGCAGGTTTAACACTTCCTGACAGAGAGGCTATTAAGGGGAAGTATTCTCGCATAACTGTCACGGGCAGGAACAAAGAACCTTCCAACTCAATGTGTGGAAACCACTAACATTCTTAAATGACCCTTTTCATGCATTTTTATCCCTTTAAGCTAAAATTTGGAGGGTACCGGGTCACGGAAAGCAGCAAGGTGTAATAAAACCCTAAACCCTGATTTTTGGGGGGTTGCGGGGTGTGTGTGGATGGGCAGTTTTTTGTGGGTTTTTTTTTTTTTTTTTTTTTTTTGCTAGATTTATCTCCGACTTAAAAACAATTGTTACTTGGAAAAATCTCATTAACAGATGTGACTGGAGTAAAAAGACTTAAAACTGATGTTGCTTTCAGGGCTGCTTTGAACTTAACAAGCACCGATTTGTGGAGCAGACTAGCTAATGAAAGGAAATTAAATTTTCTGACAACTTCCCCTGCCAGCCCCCTTATTCTTCATGGGGCTGTTACTAGGTACTGAAGACTTTTAAAGAGGATTTTGTTTTATTATCAGACATAAATGAACCAGGTATGAACATTTCTTATGTATTTTTTTTTTAAGTTCTGACCTGGGTGCTTTTAAAACGGATTGCCTTGAAAGCTTTAAAAGTATCAGGTTTCATTTTAATGTTCATAAGTCAGCCCCCTTAGCTTCAGACGCCCTTAGCAGCTGGTGGTTTCCAGACATTACTGCCTTCCCTACACATTTCTTAATGGATGTCACGGAATAGTGTAAATATTAGCGAATTTGGATGGAATTTCCAAACGTAACCCGTGCCACTGTGTAACCTCTTCCTTTTTAGCCCTGCGTTTCAGAACTAACTACTGCAGGAGAAGAGATTTGGTTATTAAAACATGCAAGGCTCAAGAACTTTGTGTTTGAATCCCCACAATTCCTGGAAACTCTTTTTCTGTAGTGTTTTCTGTTCCGTGCTTGTAGTGAAGTGAGTCAGCTGAAGTGATAGGTGTCAACAACAGCAGCGTTTTTCTAGTTGTGATACAGTAGTATCTGGAAACTCTCAGTGGAAACTTTTCAGGTAACTTTAAGAGTTTAAAATGATGCATTAATTTCTTTTTTTTTTTTTTTTTTTTTTGTGACTTAAGAAGAAATAAATCTTTGTGTATTTTTTTCTGGAGTAGAAAGAGAGATTTCATCCTTAAAGAAGTTCTGCAAGATTTCTGAAAGCCGAGTCGTTCCCAAACAATAGGGAATCAACTCCCCCTACTGACAACAGCCAGGAAAACACGAGCGATACCTGAGCAGACGGAAACAAGCTGGCAGTGGACAAGCTTTAACGACCTGATTTATGGTCCATTATTGATTGTAAACTTCTAAATTCTAGCATTAAATTCCTACGGCTGCAGAAAATCATTCTGCCGTCCTGGCTGCGTTTCCTGTCAGCTGATTCCTCCTTGCTTTGAGTTTCTCGGTATAATAACGATGAGGTAGAATTTACATTCCACTTATGGTATTAATTTTACATTCCTCTGGCTGGAAAGGGTCAGAAGGTTGTAAAATCAAACATTAAATGAATCAGAGGAGACAGTAGTGCAATATATGAGCGCCCTCAGGACACAGTGCAATGGCTGATGGGATTAACGTTGGGTCTCATTTCCTGCTTTTACAGGATGCAGATGAAGCTGTCAGAATTGCAAGGGAAATTGGTAAGTTCTTAAATTAGCTATGGTGGGATTTGTGTGCCTCTCAGCAGACATGGTTGACTAAATTGAATGTGTAATAAGTGATCCCTATAGAACAAATAATGTTTTAATAGTTTTAAAGTTCCCTGTTGCCCATGGGGCTGGAAGATTCTAGGCATTAACGCCCTGTCTCTTAAATCATCGCTTTTTAGCTCAACGGGCTGGGCTTTGGAGAACAAGTGCAGCCATGGTTTGCAGAGTGCATGTGAGATACAGCAATCAGTGACTAGCTAGAGGAGGATTCCTTTCAAAATATACCTGCCCCTGGACAAGGTGTTCATTTTTGCAGGGTTTGGGCATGGCACATGCCTGTTTGTGGGAGCTGCCGGCACCAATGGTGTTGTGGTCTCTGGCTCTGTGGGCTGCAATTAGCCTGAATGTGATCCAGGCCACCAACCTTCCTTTTTCTTCCATTTTAAGCCTTCTGGAATGAAGTCACTATTCAGCTTCTGAGTATTTTACAGGATGATGAAAAGAGCAACTAGCAAACTGCCTGGGACTTTTCTGGATGAAGCTCGAGTGAAATATGTTTGATGAGCTTTGCCTTTTATCTAATAAGGCTTAAAATTAGGGCAAATATTCAACCCTATGTTCAGGTCCTTTCTAGGCATATCTAATTCAAGGATTTTTTTACAGTTTTGCCTTTCTGTTCTATGATCCAGTAGCCATGAAGATCTTTAGGATGATTGTAGGTGCGTGATTCCAAGGATTTCTCTGCTCTTGAAGCCTCCCCTATTGATCTAGCTGCTCAGAACCCCCACTATGAATACAGCTCCCCTGTGCCCAATGCTATGACCATCATGGCCTGTGGGAAACAGCAGCCAGGACCGGCACCGTGCCAGGTGACTTCTTATGTGGACATAACCTGGTTGCACTTGGGGTTTAGGCCGGGACTATGGCGCTAGTGAAGCCCCCGGCGCAGCTCCATGGCCCTCACGATGACAGGAGGGGTGAAGGCTCCGTTGCTGAGGCTCAGCCCTGGAGCCCCCGCTGGGAATGGGGCAAGCCCTGCTGCCCCTGCAGAAAGCAGGGGGAGAAGCTACCCGTCAAATTACAGCCTTGGGAGAAGTGGCAAAGGAAAAATGGTCTCGGGGCTTAAGAAAAGGCCTTGGGTGTTGGCGGCAGCTCCATTTCTGTGGTCTGTCTCGCTGTTAGTTCTTAAAGGTTTCCTGCAAGTATTTTTAGGCTGACTGTTTTGATTAGCAGAGGTAGGAAGGCACTCAGTGACTTCCTAGACACCTTTTAAAAKGCACTCGTGCTTAATTTTCTTCTTAGTTCTTCTGGGGTTCTGTTGACCAGTTCCTGTCTTTGATATCAGCGGCACTTTGGAGGTCATTATATAAAGCCAGCCTTAAATCTGCAGATATTAAAGCCAATTACAGACAGCTGGAGGGAGTTTTTTTTTTCTTGAGATTGCAATTTCTTAAGCTATTTTTATGCAGAAAGACTACAGTATGGTGCTGTGTGTTGAAAAAAGTACTTATGTTTTGACCAATTGACCAGTTCGATTCTGTCTAGTTAGCAGCAAAATTTCAATGGAATTCTGCAATTTAAATGGCATGTTCACAGTACCAACCTTCACCTGTAATTTCAGAGGACCTAAAAGAGACTGAGGCTAAAGTCTCTGGATGTGCATAATGCCTCTGTCCCCTTATATAAAAAACACTTGTTAGATGATTGGATACTCTCAGGTTACTTTTAATTTCACTTATCTGGAAAATATCTGCAAAAGTGCTACTTTTCCAAGAATACTTGAAGTTAATAAAAAGTAAATCAGTGTGAGTCAGTGTTTAAAGACGTGGCGCACTGCTCCTGCGCTGCCCGTGCTTTCCCTGCCTCTCTGCCACAGATTTGGTGGCAGTGGAGTGTGGAGCTTCAGGGCTGAGACACTGCCTAGGACTATGCCCGTGAAGACTCCTTAGAGACACAGGTTTTAGGAGCATGAAAATTAAAAAGCAAAGAAAAACTAACCCTCCCACCTCCCGACTACCTCTGCTTTGATGCTATAGCAATAGTCCGCTAAGTCAGTCAGGAATTAGAGAGCAGCTTAGGCACTCTAATGGGCATAGAGGCTCAGTTTCTATAGTCTGTCTCCTGATTTGTGTGAACTCTTCTTCTCTTGTGTCTTCTGTAGTGTGTCACATCAGTTTTTTGCCCAGGCCACCATTTATAAGTATATATAAAGAAGCTTGTCGAGACCCAGAAAGTTTTGCTTTCCAGTTTGCTGCCTAAACGATTTGAGTGGGGGTAAAACAAAGGCCCTATAAACTAAGGGAACGTCTGTGCAGAACTAAATAGGCAGAAAGCATGTTTTTGTCATGTGTCACTTGGCCAATGGGCTTAACTGGTGCTAGCGTTTTTAATAACGAATATTGAGAAGAGTCTGCTATTGCTGGATCAATGCACTCTGCAGTCCACGACCTGCAACTTTGGTTAGCAAAAATGGTTAAACGTCAGAAAGCAGCACCGTGGTTAAGGGCAGGAACTGAGAGCTGTGGGATGCCAGAAGTCTGTTTCTTCCACTTACCGTTCAAATTCTGGGAATAGTAACCACCCTAGAGTCCAAACAGTAACTTATTAGCATTTATATARCAGCAAAAGTTGGTCATTTTGAGGTACCCTTACACCTCTCTGAGCTCATGGCTCCCACACGGGCCCGGTGCTTCAGGAAAAGCAGCTGAACTGTGCAGCAAGGTCGAGTTTATTTCCACAGGCAGGTTGGGTCTCCTGTGAGTTGCCTAATCCGGTGGAAGGGTGGAAAACCCAATGCCTCTCCAGCAAAAAAAAAAATCATTTTGGGAATTCCTTGCTGCTGTCACTGGCCATTCTCATAAACACTGTTGCTTTTAAGCTCTGTGCTTGTGTGCCTTTCCCTTCCTGCAGCTAATCCAGCGAGTGCAGGTGAGTGTGTTTCAGGGGTTCTGCTTGCTGCTGCACAGGCGAAAGGTGGCCGGGCGAAAGGCAGCTCCTCACATCAGCCCCTGGTGCCCGGGGCACGAGCAGCGCTGCGGAGCTCAGCCTCAGTGCTGCCCACACTGTTAGGTGTAGCCCAGGCCAGCGTGCGAAGCCCTGTTGGGGGAAGATGAAAGTGCCCTTAGGTTCAGGAGGCTGCCTAGTGGGCATCCTGGCTTGTGAAAGCCTGCTAACATTTTTTTTCATTCTTAACCTGCAAAGCTGTGTGTCTCTCTTCAAAGGAGGCCTTCTGTTGATTTTTTTTTCTCTGTTTTTTCAATTGTGCTGTAGCTCTATGGAGCCTCACATAGAAGCATGACTGACAGGTAATCAGTACACATAAAGGTGTGGAAAAAGTCTTCCAGAACTTGGTAATACCAGTAACTGAACTCTCATGGATCCTGAGTTGGCATAGAGGAGCTTTTTATATTCTATAAGGCATAAAGGCTCACTAAGGCTCACTGATGGTGTTCTTATTTCATTTCTGAAATGAAGAACAGTAAGTTATGACCCAACTCTACCTACAGAAGTAGAATCAGAGAGACTAATATATTAGACTGAAATTATTAGCTTCGTTGGTAGGAATTTTTCAAGTTCTTGTGACATAGAATAAGCCTGATCAGATTACACCTTTTTTTTTTTTATTATTAAAATTATATGGGATGTGCTTTTTGCCATAGTTCAGGAGAGCCACCTCCACTTGTGATGGAGCCTGGCAGATGCCAAAGGATGTGGAAGAGCAACTACAGCACAGAAAAACTGCTCACGTGTACATACCACATTCCATGGTGTGGACTTGATGTCACTGCTCACTGCAGTCTGGAATTCTGGATGTGCCTCCTTAACTCTGCGTTTGGAGGGACCTTGAAACTACTAATTCTAGTTCTTGCTTATCTGTTACCCTTCTGCAGTGCCTGGCTCTAGAAATGCTGTAGCACAGGGTTCTGTTGCTCTGCTGACATGCTAGGTGGGAAACGACTTTATTGTCATTTCTTTATTAACTCAAAGTTCTCCTGCACCTTGCTGCTTTCCTGCCTTACGCTCAACACTACTCTATTTACTAGGCTTGTGTCATGCCCCTTTTGTTGTCCTAAGAACACTCTCCAGATTTTATTTTATTTTATTTTATTTTATTTTATTTTATTTTATTTTATTTTATTTTATTTTATTTTATTTTATTTTATTTTATTTTATTTTATTTTNTTATTTTATTTTATTTTATTTTATTTTATTTTATTTTATTTTATTTTATTTTATTTTATTTTATTTTATTTTATTTTATTTTATTTTATTTTATTCCATTTAAAATCATCATCTCCTAAAAATCCTTTCAGCCAAGTGCCATTGGGGAAGAGTGTTATCATCTTAGCCAGCTGAGTAAGGCCCGAGTTGCAGAAAGATGATGTAAACATGGGTTGTGTGTATGATAGCAGGCCTGACCATTTTTATAAGGGGCCGCATTCAGATAGCCCTTTTTTGTCCCAAGATTAGAGCCTTTTGGAGGAAGATGTTTTCATTTTGCAAGGCCTGACTGATTTGCCTTGCTGGAGACCGTCAGCTGGTCCTGTGTTTGGTTTAATGGTATATTTTCCATTAAAAGTGATGGAGACCAAAGACATGCAGAAATTTTTATGCTTGCCTAGAGGCGTTACTTCCAAACACCCATAGACTTCCTTAACTTCCAAATACCCGTAGACTGATGTGCGAGAAAAGAGAAATGCGATAACAGTAAGAAATTATTTTGCATTGTTGTGCTAAGATGCACATATTAAATCTACTTGAAGACCACAGACTTTTTACCATATGACTTTGGCTTTCAGAAAATGGAAGGCCTTGATTCTGTTTTGATCCAAAAGTAAAATATTACCACTCTTATACAGTGTTGTCAGATTATGTTGCTCTCTTTAATGTTTTTTTTCCCCTTGCATCTTGTCTGTTTGGGAGATATGCTTTGTTTTGTCTTCAGTGTGTAGTGATAATCTGTTTGCTTTGATTCTTGCTTGTCACTGCCTAACATCTGAGCAGCAAAGCGCTTTGGAGATGCTCCATTATTTAAAATCTGCTGCACTATTGACCAGAAATGGAGAATAAGAGTCGTCGAATCTCTGACTAATGGTTCATGAAGATCTCTTTCTGTTTCTTGCTAATAAAATGTTTTCTTTTAATTTTAGCCCAGCAATAGTTGGAGTAGAAAAAGGAACAGAATTTTGCTTTTAAAGAAAGTGAAGTTAAAGGTCAAATGCTTTTTTTCATAAATCATTTTGTTACTTGGGAATAATTAACTCAGCATTTTTCTTATATAAATGCATTAAAGACAACCTTTTCTTGTCTCCAGAAATGACTGTACTGACAGCTAAGTGTTGAAAAGAAAAAAATACCCTCTTCTTCCAAACAAGTAGCATTTTAATAAACCAAGTTATTGTCTCCGGGCATTATTGGACATGTGGTCAGTTGTCATGTTCCTCTGACCAACTGATCAAAGTTTGAACTTCTGTCTAATTGTTCCCCGCTGTTAGGCTACCCTGTCATGATCAAGGCCTCAGCAGGTGGTGGTGGGAAAGGCATGAGAATCGCTTGGGATGATGAAGAGACCAGGTGAGACGCTGTCCAAAAGCTTCCCTTGATGAATGCTGCACTTACCAAAGGCCCTTCAGGCCCCTGCGAGCTGACAGTTGGGCACATATCAAATGTTTAGCAGAAATTGGGTAGTATCTGCTTTGCTGCCCTCGGTATAGTGTGCACTGAAATTCTCTTGGCATGGGCATATGTAAAATTAAGTTTTGTATGAAACCTCTAAAATGTCATGGTTGGTTATTTTGGGTACAGCCTTACGATTGCCTGTGACTGTTGTAAGTTGATACTGGAAATAGTACTTTATTGTTTGCATTCCAGAATGTTGATGTATAAACTGTTTGTGCGTTTAGTAGAATAAACCATTTGGCCATGATTCACAAATACTAATTTTTGAACAGCTAGTTCTGTTAAAGTTGATGGGACTGATTATTCATATGTAGAAACACATCTAAAGTGGTTCCAGAATGTGCTGTAATAAATTGCATATTTCAGTGTTTAGCATACTTGTCGCAGCAAGCTCTATTGTGCATTTGCCTGTCTGCTTGAAAGAATATTTGTTTTAACACACGTATTTTCACATCTTTAACGGCGTGTCTGAATCCCAAATCCTGCCAGATACTTGTTGACTGGAGCTGTTTTAGAGTCCATTCTTCCCTGATACTGTGGCAGGGAGGTGTCTAGCTGCAAGCATTGTGTAACAACAATGATGTTACACAAAAAGGCATTTTAGGATTTTTCAGTGATTTGTAACAAAGACTATTTGTTGAGATTTAAAACCAAGTAACTTTTCTAAGAAATTCTTACCTTCCATGTGAATATGGGAGCACACAAATCGGGCGTAAACTCTGAAGTACAATTCCTCTTCATATGCTTAAGTGTTAGTCATGACTATAATGCTTTTCTGTCATGTCTTTTGTATCGTCTGTTAAATTTATTTTAAGTCTCATACCTAAAAGCTGTAAGGAAGAACAAAATGATTAGAAGTTAAATTTTAATTGGAATAAAACTTTCTGTGTACCTTGCTACCTCTAGACTGTTTATGTTCTAATCTCAATAGGAAATTTGCACATTAGGTTGAGGATCTAGAATAATCTACTTTATTACAAGGATGCTTTGTTCCTACCGCTTTGGAAACCAAAATTGCTCCCTTGATCTTAGTCAGCAAGTGCTGTGAATTTTTTGGACTCAAAAGGAAGATATTCATTTTTCATTTTGCTCAGAAACTGTCAAAGAAAATTGATTAAAGTAACTGTCTAAAAATTGAAATCCAGGCTGAAGTGATGATTGCTAATTTGTTTTGAAGAAGTTACGGTTGCTGTTTTGACCAGAGAGTCACTCGATATCAACAGAAACCAACTGTGGATGTACTCTTAACATTCTGAAATACTCAGATACTTGGTATTTGCCAGTGGTGGCATTTTAATAATTCTCTTATTACATTAGTCTTGTTTATACAGTAACTTTATAGAATGATATCTCTGAAGTGGTAAGAGAAAGAAGTCACAGATCAACCGAAGTCACTGACCCTATTTTAAGAAGAGTTTATTTTAAAGTTTGCAGGCATCAGTGAAATCAAAGTTCAGTTGGCAAAGTATTTGTTGCAAGAAGATAAAGTGAGGTCAAGAGAAATTAAGATGAATTTACTTTCCATTGATGAAACAGATCATTTTGGTGTTTCTTGAAGAAATTTTTATTGAAGAAACGTGGATGAAAGATGTGTTGTACATTGTACATGTCCATTAACTTTTTTATAGAATTCAGTTTTTATCCTTTGTATCTGAAGAGAACTTCTGGCAGAGTATGTTAAGGCAACTAGACTTGTTACTGACAAACCAATATATCTGATAATTTTTGATATTGTATGAAGAGAGTTGTTGGCCTCATCATCCAGATGTTGAGGCCTTGTTGCATCCAGATCCAATGTAAACCTAAAAATAAGCTAATACTCAGCTTTTGGCAGACACCAGGGAGAGGCCGGTATCTGAATGATCTTCTGAGGTCCTACGTGCAAGATGTTTCTGAGAACTACGGATAAAATTTTGATTTACAAACTTGTTTTGGTTTTGCCCTAGATTTAGGATTAATTCCAAAGGCTGTTGAGAAAATGCTTTATAGAAAGTCATGTTGCTGTAACATGCTTTGGGATTTTCAGGATAGTCAAAGCATGGAAAATTGCCCTTTCCTTAAAACCAATTATATGTAATATTAAAAGAGAAAAAGCTTTATGATGGTGTTACATAGCAAATAATGTGGTGTTATGTGGCAATAGACATGGGAAATGGGAAACATCTATCTGAATGCCTGAATTCCTGCTGTTATTGAGTTATTCACTATGGTAACTTATTAGTGCTTCATCCTTCACACCTCTTAAATATCTTTAGTGAAAAAACTTTCATTAGATCCCTCTAGATATTATGAAAGCATTCCAAATAAATTCAAGGTTTCTGCCAGTTCCCCCAAATCTGAGACAAGATCTAGTCTGGAATTTTGTCTGCGGTTCAAGCTGATAACCCAGATCTGAAATTAAATGAGTTTTGTCTTCACTATGATATAGGTCCCTAGTAAGTTATCCTGGTTTGATTACATTGAATTTAGGATAGGCTTTTTCATGTAACAGACACACACTTGAAGTTATATTGAAAAAGAAAAAGGAATATCTGAAGAGCAGTTTATATTGAATTAAGGGAGCAACTGTGCTAGGTGGGAAGAAGCTAGAACCCTAAATTCTGGGTTCTGCTACCGTGTGTGTGTCTGATGGGTGCCCCTGCCTTGGCATAATTCATCGCTTCAGCTCTGGTGCTATACAGAGAGCCTCGTGCTTGCAACCCAGAGATACCAGTCCCAAAACATTTTCCAAAAATAGGCAATGCGAAGTTCAGCACAAAACATAGCTAAAGGGCTGGGAGTCTGCAAGTGTGGAAGTTTTCTATATCCTTCTTTTCACTGATTGTGGAGAAATTGAAGGATCTCTTGCTTTCAGGATAACACTTGCACCTGTAACTAAGTCTTAAGCTTTGTGGCTTCGCAATCATTAAGCTTCAGTGATCTGCTGCAAGCTTTGAAGGGGAATTACCTTGGGCATCATCTCTAAAGAAGTGATGATTTGTTTTCTTGAGGGAATAAAACCCTTTTTTAAGGATGGAAAAAAGCTCAAGATTTTATTTTTTGAGAGAAAACAAAATATTTGAGACTGGATCTCTGCACTTAAAGATCCTTTCTAGCTTGCAGATTCAGTATAGGAAGTCACCACTGTGCAGGAAATAATGATTCTGTTTTATAGTAATTTCAGCTGCAGGTATAATCTGTTTGAGTTGGAAATATGTACTAAATATTCTTCTAGCAATTCATTCTTCATAAATTTGGAACTTTGTGGCTAAATTTGCTTTCCTTGGGTCTTGAAATCTTGCATGCTTTGTGTACCTCTGAAAACTTTCAGCACAGCACCTTCCAGGAACAGGTATTTGTATGAAAGATTTTACCATTTGGCCCATAAGAACCGACTAAATAGTCCTGTTACTTAAAATCTCTTCTTTGGAGCCCATGCCAGTTTATGAATTCACAGATCAGGCGTGTGCTTGCAAAGCTCCCGAGAGCATTTGCCCTTTCCTTTCTGCAGCCCTGGACTGCCATGCTGTGCTGCACATGCTTGCTCTCTTCCAGTTTTTGCTGTTCACTGTGAGGGTACCATTGGATGCATAAGAGAACTGCTAGCAATTTTTTTTTAAATCCGGCCTGCAGTTGTATTCTACAGTTTCCCACCTTCCCCCAGAAACATCTGTTTTGTCTCTGTAATCTTCTGAAGGGATGAGCTGTAGGACTGTAAGAGCTTAAGTGGAGTAATACATAACATCATTCTGAATCCCTCCTTGTCTCCCGAGAGAAGACATTCCCTGCTACAGACCTGAACATGGAGCTTTATTACCTTTCCAAAGCAGTTTATTTAGCCTGCCAAACTGCTCTGCAAAAATGGGAGTGCATGGACTTGGCCTCCAAGGTCTGTCCAGCATAGGTCTGTGCTCTCAAAACACTGAGGTAAGGGGAGGAAGTGAATTGAGTGACTGAAGGACAGTGATTCTGCTAGCCTGGAACCTGATATCAGATAGAAATCTTTAATGGATCACCACTTAGGGCCTGTTGTACTCTTTATGTTCTGTAAGTGGGCCAAAAATAAATAACAGGGACACTGCTAAGAGATTATTTCAGTGCTGGGTGGAGGTGTGTTCCTAAGCTATAATAAAATCCTCCAAATATGGGAAGATCATAACTATACAGTAGATCAACATTTAATAGAAACTCCTAATTGAAAGCAGAAAGGTAACTGAATTGATAAAATTCTGTGTTGCTGAAGAATCATGTAAACTCTTCAGATACTTTGGTGATTCAAAACAAAATTCTACATATATGTGTATACACACATACACATAGACACGCCCTTGTTAAACACAGGAGTACGTGACGACTGTGTGCATAAATATATATGTAAAATGCTGTGACTAGGGCATTTGAGTTTTTGCTTTCAAATCTGTAGTCAAGCTGAAGCAAGGGATATTTGTTTTCTTTGTAAAATCAAACATTTTGAGTATATATTGGTTTTATTTTTAAAGGCATTTCATTGCACTAATGATAAACTAATGCGTTTTAACTAGACAGTCTTCCTAATTCTGGTGTTGATAGGAAAAGGCTGTATTCTTTTCTTATTGCCAGAAACTGGAAACTGAAATATTGCTTAATAACAAATATGCAGTTTCTCATTAGTGTCTGCCCACCTCCCAAGAAGGTGGTTGCTTTAACTAAGGAAGCAAAGCTTCCGGATGGAGATACGGACCTGGCAGAGACTAACTCACTTCAGACAAATGCAAGGAAAGTTACAGCACGATCAGTGAATATTTCTGTGTATTGATGTACTTCTCTGTTAGTGGATATGATGCGTGGAGGGAGAGGTCTTACAGGCCTCCAGTTCTGCCTCCTTTAGCATCGGTCACGCTGGAAGGGACCTTGGGAAGGCCTCTCATTCAGCTCCCTGCCCCGAGCTGCCTCRGCACTAGATTCGGACCTGCTTAGAGCTTTGACCAGTCGGATCGTAAGAACCTCGGAGGCCAGCAATTCCCAGCCCTTCCAAGCAGGTGCCTCAGGTGCTGGGTACAGCTGCTTGAGCTGGACCCTCCTCGATTGGGGTCTCCATTGGCCCTCAAGGCCCCCAGCTGGTGCCTCTGGGCCT